GAATACTCTAAAATGGCAATAACGTTCAAAAATAATTTCTCAAGTTAAAGTCGCCTTTAGAAAGATTATTTAACCACAAAGAAAGCCCCAGCTCCGGATAAAAAGACATTAAATTTAGATGATGAACCCCACCAGGAGCCTCGAGTGTCAAGTGAAGACAAAATAACAAGGAAGTAGAGGCACATCGTTTACCGAGTATTCAAAAATAGATTGTAGCTTAGAAGAGGTTCATGAAGGTCACAGCAGAGTTATGGAATTCACAACGCGGTTATTGCGGAATCGAATGAATTAGCTTTGAAAAAAATTGGAATGTTTCGCTGTTATCGGAACGGATATTAAGTCGTACACATGAACATTATGAAAATTCACTTTAGAGTTTCTTCGAGTGGTGCGTAAGCCGTAAGTAGGAGCGTGACAAATATAGTCTTGTCACACCACTTGTCTGTAATATAATTTTTTTAATTTCATTTCGAAAAGCACTCGCGCTTCGCTTTTAAATCTTATTGTCCTAAGAAACTTAGTAAAAAACGGGAGAAAAGTAACTGACTATTATTGTGGACGAAATGATATTTTCTATCTCAAACTGCAAACGTCTAAACTATATCACCTAAAAGCGATGAGCTATTACATCTGACTAAAAGCAACGTAATAAATCCTTCAGTTTCGTTCGGCCTCTTCTTCTTTAATAATCATGGTATAGACATTATCTATTGCTTTATGTTGGCGTCTCTTAATACACTCAAACGTTCAGTTCATAGATTCAAAAGAAAGATAGCTTTTAACACAAAATGTTAAGACTAGAAAGCTTTTGGATCCGCTAGTATGCGGAATAAGTTATCAAATGTGAAATTAAAAGCCATCAAAAATATGAATAGCCTTATATCAATCAGTTTACGTACCTTAGCGATAAAATTGCGGTGCACTTTCCTTCGGATAAGTTTAGCGTATATCTCATAGCAGGAATTGAATGCAACTTATTTGATTGATTATTTAGGGGTACAAGTATCCGTATCAGCGAGCTTAGAGTAGATTTTACGGCATCCTCCGAAACTGAAAGGCTATTATTATAAAGGTTCACTTCCTACTTCCTATTTCCTCATGCGGGGTCCAATTGAATTATGGCCTGGTTTCTCAGTACATTATTTTATATTTTTTTATTCTTCGGTTCGATAGTTTTTTTTTCCTCAAGCCTAATAAAAGTAAAGTTAACAAAAGTAAACTTTACAACGTGTACACCTATTAATACTAAATTTAAATTAGAAAAATGTCGTATTAACTCTACGACTAAAAATTTAGCTCGTGATCTTGATTAAGTACATTCAATGTCCATCTACAAAAATTTCATCTTAATTTTACGCTCAATGTGATAATGCAAGTTAAACTGAAAAAAATTAACTACCATACTATAATTTAGGATCAAAAGCAAATAAAAAGACCTGTGTACATGCTATCTTTGCTTGGGACACTCCTTGATAAAATTTACCCTTTTGCATTGCATTCCTATGAAGCAAATGAAAGTCATGTCCCATTATTTACTTAGTAGTGACTCATTATATACTCTTGCATGAACTTGTTCTTAAATATTGTTTGTCTGTTCCTGTATTTCTTTTTGTTCGGTTTGTTTCACATTTTTTTTATTTGGTTTTCGTTTGCCTAACACCTCCTCTATGAGAGAGTATCTATCTGGTCAGTTGTTTGTTAAAATCGATCAACAACTCGAAAGCCAACGTAACGGTTTGGTCAATGAGAAATTCAAATCTAGTAACATAAGTAATCTATAACTTTGAATTCCTTTATAACTCTAGATAGGCATTGTGCCCTAAACTGTTAAAGATGAAGGAAAATAATAACAAAAACACTTTGTATCGACCCATAAAACTTCCGCATATATACAACCGGATAAAAACCCCTTACTCTCCCTAAAATCTTATTAATAACTATATCAAAATCGCTCTTTTTACCTACAAATAGTGTTTGGGAAACAAAAAGCGAAAGCGATTTATCGTATTTAGTTAAACTCGTTACCTTTCAAAAAGGGTAAGAAGGTAAGAAGCTCCTGACTTCAGACTTCTTCACCTCTTCCAAGCAAACTCATCATGCTTCACTGATATCCAGACAAGAAACTTAGAGAAAAAGACCCCTGACGTTCTTCTCCAATCTTTCACAAGATTTGCGAAAAAAGAAACCATTTAAGTGTTATACAACCTCACATAAGTAAGCTTTCAAGTCCCAAGACTTGGCTTCTAGGACTTTCAAAGTACGAAGAATAACTAACCAATGTATCATTAACCTAGCAGGTAATTTAGTGTTAACAACTGGGTTGAAAACGTAAATTAGCCACCGTAAAGGGTAAAAAAGCTGACGTTTCGAGCGTTAGCCCTTCGTCATCGCTCTGACGAAGGGCTAACGCTCGAAACGTCAGCTTTTTTACCCTTTACGGTGGCTAATTTACGTTTTCAACCCAGTTGTTAACACTAAATTACCTGCTATACTCTCCCACCGACGCAGCACCACAGTTTCTTTAGAAACTTACCCCTTTATTCATTTATCATTAACCTACGTTTGTAACAGCTTTATTTCTACATATTTGAGTAACAATTACTAATCACAACGTACCACCCCCGATGGGGATTTTGTGAATAGTCCATACAACAAACATTCTAACATAAACATCTCAACATAAAACTTGTCTTCAGCTAACACCCCTCAAACTACACTTAAAGTGCAGTTTCGTTTACAGAAACTATTGGAGAACAAAGAAAGACTGTTTCCTTGGTTACGAGCCTGATAGTGGGTATAGTGAGCATAGTGAGACCGGTGTCTACTCGACACCGGTCTCACTATGCTTGTACTATTTCCCAAGCACAAGCTCAGTGTTATAAATTTAACTTTTCAAATATTTTGATAGCGCCATACATCCGGTTGTCCTATGCGCTTTAGTTAAATAACAATAGTTCTAAACTATTTTTTTCATCATAAAACTATTTCGATTAATCATAAAAAAAGTATAACTATTAAATAAAAAATTGAGGTATGTGCGGAATATATGAATAACCGGAAAATTACACGTCTTAACAAGCACGATTTTAAAGCCTTTTACAAACTAGCTACATTTCTTGACTTTCTGCGAGACAAATCTCCGACCTACTGTGTCTTGTACTAAAAGAAATGACCTCCAATATACACAAGTTCATATTTAGTACTAGAGATAAATGATTCTACATTCAGCTGAGTTATTCAATGTGAAAAGTTTATTAAGGATGAGTCAGCCAGTCTTGCAGTATACGCATCCTTACATGATCTTAACATGTGTATATTGAAAACTAAGGGTTCTACAAAAGAACCTGTGCTACGCCAGATACGAAAAACCACTAAAAAAAACCACTCTTTGGAAGTGGCCAAAAAATATGTGGAAACGTATTCCTCATCTAATGCAGCAGCACAATACCCCGAGGAAAGGGCAAACTAATCTGATTACACTGCTAATCACAAAGAAAAATCAATGAATGTAATGATATTTTACAGGGATTTGAAAACGAAAATTGGGTCAATACGAAAAAAAAGAAAGAAAGAAAGAACATGGTCAAACACAAGACTGATCGACCTAGAATGAATTTTCCCGCGAAACGCTTAAATAATCCGAAACTTTCATGATGCCACGCGAACCTCTTCAACTTGCCGTCAGAATATTAATTTCTGACTAACTCGTTCCCATGTCACTCAAACATCAGAAATTACATTTGCGGAAACCATGTGATTTTCATCTCCTCCATTAAAGTGTAAACATGAAACGATGACAATGACCATGTTTTTAGATTTAAAAAAGTAACCGATCCTCGCGAAAATTGTCTTTAAATGGGCTAAAATGTTCGACTTCAGACGCTGCTTTTTTATTTTTATCGAGTAATATGGCCGATAAACTGTAATGTGAAAAGTTTACTTTTCTTTTCCCATTTATTGGCAATCTCTCTGAAATATTCGAGGCTAAAAAGACGGCATTCCTGAATCAAATTAGGAATGCATGTGAAAGCCAGAGAATCAGCAGTTCGTGAACCGTGCGTCGAAGTTTTAGGTAGACGGATTGCTGAGTTGTCATGGCATAGCACGTTTTGAATAAATTCGAGAGAGATGTTACTCTTTAGAATCTCAAAACATGCCAAGTAATAAATTTTTATGTACACTTTTAAACAGTGGAGATACAAATCGAATGATCCCTGAGATACACTTCTTAAGTTCACTTCTATTTCATAAATTTTCAATGTCCACCCTTCTGGTTAAAGTAGCTAGGCCTCTAACAGAATCTGGTACATTCCTCAACATCGTTCCTTGTGCGTTCACACGACCCTCAAGTCGTGTGATCCTTTCCTGGACAGCCGTATCCCTGATAAGCCTCGCAAGTTCCACACTTTGGTTACTCTGCTGATTTTGCAAGGTGTTAAAATTCGCTTGATGATCATCGTGCTTCATTTGGTGAGCATTAAGAGAGACTTGAATATGGCGTAATCTGTTGTTGACGTCGCCGACCGCATCTTTTAACCGATCATTTTCTGACACCAGGTGAGAATTAACATTAGCGATGTAGTTTGTAACCTCATTTTGTTCCGAAAAACGGCGAGTCAGGTGAGCCACTTGATTTTCAAGGTTGATTAATCTTTGCTCATGTTGATCAGAAACATTTGGAACCGAATTTCGCGAGGATGCGGTGTTTCTCGCCATGGTATCGTTTAGGGAAGGGTTCAACTCCTCTCGAAACTCCAAGCAATTTTCGGCCGAGTTCCTATTTTGTCCCGCTATAGTACAGGAAAGTATTAACAAACCTCTGAAACTGAAAGAAAGGTTCAAAGTATCCGTATAGGCGAACTTAGAGAAGATTTCACGGCATCCTCCGAAACTGAAAGGCTTATTATTAAGGTCACTTCCTACTTCCTACTTCCTCATGCGGGATCCAATTGAATTATGGTCTGGTTTCTCAGTACATTATTTTATATTCTTTTATTCTTCGGTTCGATAGTTTTTTTTCCTCAAGCTTAATAAAAGTAAACTTTACAACATGTACACCTATTAATACTAAATTTAAATTACAAAAATGTCGTATTAACTCTACGACTAAAATTTAGCTCGTGATCTTGATAAAAACCCCTTACTCTCACTAAAATCTTATCAATAGCTATACCAAAATCGCTCTTTTTACCTATAAATAGTGTTTGCGAAACAAAAAGCGAAAGCGATATGTCGTATTTAGGTAAACTCGTTACTTTTCAAAAAGGGTAAGAAGGTAAGAAGCTCCTGACTTCTTCACCTCTTCAAAGTAAACTCATCATGCTTCACTGGTATCCAGACAAGAAACTTAGAGAAAAAGACCCCTGTCATTATTCTCCAATCTTTCACAAAATTTGCGGAAAAAAAAAACAACCCATTTTAGTGGCGTCTAGGACTTTCGAAGTACGAAGAATAACTAACCAATGTATCATTAACCTATGTTTCTAACAGCTTTATTTCTACATATTTGAGTAACAATTACTAATCGCAACGTACCACCCCCGATGGGAATTTCGTGGATAGTACATACAACAAACATTCTAACATAAACATCACAACATAAAACCTGTCTTCAGATTACACCCTCAAACTACACTTCAAGTGCAGTTTCGTTTACAGAAACTATTGGAGATCAAAGAAAGACTGTTTCCTTGGTCACGAGCCTGATAGTGAGTATAATGAGCACAGCGAGACCGGTGTCTACTCGACAACAGTCTCACTATGTTTGTACTATTTCCCAAGCACAAGCTTAGTGTTATAAATTTAACTTATTTAAATCTTTTGATAGCGTCATACGTCCGGTTGTCCTATATACTTTAGTTAAATAACAATAGTTCTAAACTACTTTTTTTACCAGATTCATAAAACTACTTCGATTAATCATAAAAAAGTATAACTATTAAATAAAAAATTGAGGTATGTGCGGAATATATGAATATCCGGAAAATTACACGTCTTGAAAAGCACGATTTTAAAGCCTTTTACAAACTAGCTACATTTCTTGACTTTCTGCGAGACAAATCTCCGACCTACTGTGTCTTGGACTAAAAGAAATGACCTCCAATATACACAAGTTCATATTTAGTACTAGAGATAAATGATTCTACATTCAGCCGAGTTATTCAATGTGAAAACTTTATGAAGGATGAGTCAGCCAGTCTTGCAGTATACGCATCCTTATATGATCTTAACATGTGTATATTGAAAACTAAGGGTTCTAAAAAAGAACCTGTGCTACGCCAGATACGAAAAACCACTAAAAAAACCACTCTTTGGAAGTGGCCAAAAAATATGTGGAAACGTATTCCTCATCTAATGCAGCAGCACAATACCCCGAGGAAAGGGCAAACTAATCTGATTACACTGCTAATCACAAAGAAAAATCAATGAATATAATGATATTTTACAGAGATTTGAAAACGAAAATTAGGTCAATACGAAAAAAAAGAAAGAAAGAAAGTGGTCAAACATAAGACTGATCGACCTAGAATGAATTTTCCCGCGAAACGCTTAAATAATCCGAAACTTTCATGATGCCACGCGAACCTCTTCAACTTGCCATCAGAACATTAATTTCTGACTAATTCATTCCCATGTCACTCAAACATCAGAAATTACATTTGCGGAAACCATGTGATTTTCATCTCCTCCATTAAAGTGTAAACATGAAACGATGACAATGACCATGTTTTTAGATTTAAAAAAGTAACCGATCCTCGCGAAAATTGTCTTTAAATGGGCTAAAATGTTCGACTTCAGACGCTGCTTTTTTATTTTTATCGAGTAATATGGCCGATAAACTGTAATGTGAAAAGTTTACTTTTCTTTTCCCATTATTGGCAATCTCTCTGAAATATTCGAGGCTAAAAAGACGGCATTCCTGAATCAAATTAGGAATGCATGTGAAAGCCAGAGAATCAGCAGTTCGTGAACCGTGCGTCGAAGTTTTAGGTAGACGGATTGCTGAGTTGTCATGGCATAGCACGTTTGAATAAATTTTCGAGAGAGATGTTACTCTTTAGAACCTCAAAACATGCCAAGTAATAAATTTTTATGTACACTTTTAAACAGTGGAGATACAAATCGAATGATCCCTGAGATACACTTCTTAAGTTCACTTCTATTTCATAAATTTTCAATGTCCACCCTTCTGGTTAAAGTAGCTAGGCCTCTAACAGAATCTGATACATTCCTCAACATCGTTCCTTGTGCGTTCACACGACCCTCAAGTCGTGTGATCCTTTCCTGGACAGCCGCCGTATCCCTGATGAGCCTCGCAAGTTCCACGCTTTGGTTACTCTGCTCATTTTGCAGGGTGTTAAAATTCGCTAGATGATCATCGTGCTTCATTTGGTGAGCATTAAGAGAGACTTGAATATGGCGTAATCTGTTGTTGACGTCGCCGACCGCATCTTTTAACTGATCATTCTCTGACACCAGGTGAGAATTAACATTAGCGATGTAGTTTGTAACTTCATTTTGTTCCGAAAAACAGCGAGTCAGGTGAGCAACTTGATTTTCAAGGTTGATCAATCTTTGCTCATGTTGATCAGAAGCATTTGGAACCGAGTTTCGCGAGGATGCGGTGTTTCTCGCCATGGTATCGTTTAGGGAGGGGTTCAACTCCTCTTTAAACTCCAAGTAATTTTCGGCTGAGTTCCTGTTTTGTCCCGCTATATTACCAGACAACAAGAAATTGACCTGACGAGGAAGATCGGCGTTGATATGCCCTTTCTGCAAAAGAAATAAAACCAAAAAACCTAGTTATCTCAATGGTTCTTTCATCATCATCATCTGGGAATAGAGGCCACTTGGAAAGAAGAGATGTGAAGCACAGCACAGGAAAGTATTAACAAACCTATACTTACTGGAATTTTTAAAGTACACAACTTTCCTCGATTGATAAATACAACACTCTGACTGAAATTATAATCTTACCAGTTAAAACCCGAAATTTCTAATTCTAACTTTTTGTCTCACTCATGACTTTGTTTCAGTTGATTACTAAGTGGTTACGCTTGGAAGCTAAAAGAAATGCAATTAGAGTCGCAGTGAACTAACAACTAGAAGCTTTTTCATCACTTCCGTAACATTGGTACTCCCTTGTTCATTGCAAGATCGTTTTGTCTTAAGTCTACGGGCACGATTTTCTTCAAAGTGCCCGTGACGGTCAGCTCGACACACATTCATCCCTCCCTTATGACAGTCAACTCTTTCCCTGGTTGGAGAATGGTTCTGTAATGAGAAAAATTATACATCCCTTTACCAAAATGAGTCTGTCGCAAATTGGAAAATAACACTTAAATGACTTTCAAATAGATTGGATAAGTAACAAAGCAAAAAAAGTTGCAATAAACCCATATTTCACTCGAAAATCATTCATTACAGAATACGGTGGCCGGGATCGTGCACTTCTCGGCCGAATTTCAAAATCTCGCCGAAATTCAGTAATCAAAAGATAATCAACTACCAGATGTTTAGAAGACGTGACTACAATCGACAATACAAAGCCAATAAGTTGGGAAAAGTGTCTCGCGCTCCATGCCGAAATTCGCAAAGCTAATGCTTGCGACCACCAACAGACAACTTGAATAAAATGATACCAAAATTTTCATTCTGAAGGTGTGAGAATTCGTCAACTCCAGTTCCTGGAGTGAAGGTCAGAACTCTTCTGGAGAAAGGCTAGGGAAAAAGACGTAATGCTATGTGAGCACTTACCGTCTAAGATGAAGGGCAGCTACGGAAAATTAAGATTTCAAACTTTCAGTACATTTCTTTCGTCCTTCAGAAAAAAAACCTTAAGATTGTCACACAGTGAGCTAACGGTCAGTACATTGGACTCCGGACAAGAGGTCTGGGATAGAAACCTGGCCGCGAGTCATTCTTGGACGAGACACTCTTACTCACGGTACCTCTCTCCAACAGAAGGAATGAATCGATACCGACGAATTTTCAAAGTTTCCGGTCGAAATGCAGAGGGTAATCTCCGATGGACGAGCAGCCCATCCAGGGGAAGTAGCTGTACTCTTAGTCGCTTCATGCTACACAGTCCGAAATAGGTTCCAGTGCCTTGTGGGCCACTTGGATCAGGTTCAAGTGTTACCTTTACATTTCACCTTCCCTGTCAGACAATGACAGTCGACCACTTTTATGGTTGTCATATGACAATTAGTTACGGAACTAGCGTTGATGCTTAGAGGCAAAACCACATTAAAATACTGAAAGAAGCCATCATTCTTGTATTTTTTGACACTCACTTAATTTGTGGTTTCTCACTGGGGATAATTTTGAAATTTTGAAATTTTGAAATGTCTTTCAGAGAGCTTTCCCTCATTGTTTTCTCTGTGTTCAGTATACTAGTTTGAGGAAAAAAACTTTCATTCTCTTTTTCATTACCTGAAGGTATGAAGATATTACGAATGTAAACGCCCGTGTTTGTTCCCTCGTGTATTACCTGTACGCGTTATTTGGCAAAAACACCATGGCGACAGGTAACATGGACAATTATGAAAGATCATTAGCCGGTATTGATGTCAAATACTAACACAGGCCATGCTATTACCTATATCACATATCGCATTTATGAAATGCTTAAGTAAAAAAAAATTAATAAACCAAATGTCTAAAAACATCTTTGTGCGACAACGCACGAAAATTGGCCAAAGCTTAGTCACCTTTCTAACAATGGCGCTGCCTTCTTCATGGCAGGATCGTCTTGTCTCTGATCTACGAGCACCATCTCTAACAACGAGCTCGGAAGAATCAGCATTTATCCCAAACTCAGGACAGGTAGCTGTTTCTTGGGTTGGAGAACTGTTCTGTCATAGTACAAAGTAACAAACTACAAATTGTTATAGCCCGACGATTAAACGTTTATAATTTCCAAGAAAATATAGAATTAAAAAAAATACAAAATGAAGACTTTCTCTGAAAGTTTTATCCAAACCATTACTATCAATTTCTAGATTCAAGGTTATGAGTAAATAAGCATTGTGGCGGTTGTTGAGGGTTTGCCTCAGTTTAAAAAATTCATGTCGGTGTTAATAAGATCTTTTTGTGGTTACGTGAATTCAATCACTTTGAAAACATTTCAACAATACATAGGAAAGCTTGAAAAAACTTTCAATAAAATCCGAGTTAAAAGGGAAGACTTTCATCGTCTTGTCACGAGCACGTCAAAGAGGAATAATGCGAGTCCCCATTAAGAATCGAAACCAGACCTTGGGGTTCTGCGCTTCGATGCTCTACCACTGAGCCACAGAAAACAATGAGCCCGTGTAACGAGTTAGATAATTACTGGATTCATATCTGACACGCATTCCGTATACTGCTCGGATCAGCAGTTCCGATGGATAAATTCACATTCCTTTTTCTGAGAAGTAATATAGTTTTTTTAATTTTCCGAAGAGTAAACTTCTGCCTTAACCCTCTATATTTCCTCTTACGTGCCCACACGAATGAAGGTTATCGAAAACTTGCTGACCTGTGGGTTTTCGCCATCCTGTGCTTCTTGGCGGTGGGCAGGCATGGGACGTTGGGTGTGCGAATCCTGTTTCAACATAAATTTCATTACGTAAATCCATGTGTTGTGGATGTTTATTCGAACAATTTTCGGGATATTATTTAACAAAACGACCTGCTCCATTTCATTGGGAAAAGTGTTCTCTAGGTTCAAATTTGAAATATACCTCGTCAATTGGATCTTCATCCGTTTCAGTTCCAATTTGATTCTGCGAAAAAATAACGTTAAGGAATATTACAATTGCCTGCCATTGTTCTTTTGATCGCAAACACTATTTTCTATCGCATTTGGAGGAACAAAATCAATAAGAAGAAAGATGCCAAACTGACCAACCTCAACAACATTATCAGAAAGTAAGAATTCTCTTTCGTCATCTGTTCCAGTAGAAAGCGTGATATCGCCCTCACACTCCTTTTGCTCTCCTCTTTGAATGCTGGCCAAACTGCAGCTTCCTACATGACACTAAAAGGTGTGATGCAAAACAGCAATAAAATAAAAGTTGGAATTTTATGACTGAGTTAGAAGAAGCTTCCTGGGACTGCGTTCCATATTTTTTTCAGAGTGGGAGACGGTGGTTAACAAATTCAAGTGGGGGGAGGGGGGGGAAGACTTGTAATTGACAAAGGTTTATATTATGATACAGTAACACATAGAATACAGTTAAATTATTAAGGTATTACGATAACTAATAGCAAAGTTAACACACACGTTAGTACACAGGGTAAGGCAATTTTGGTCAGCTAAACTGTTTTAGAATATTTTAGAAATATCATAATATTATATTAATTAATCTTAACAGTATTGAATAACTTATTAAAAAACAGCTGAGATGATCTCCCTCTGCCAGAAACTGCTGAGTTTCAAGCTTGGGAAGTACATGTTCTTCGCTTGATTAACATAAAAATTAAAACCAACAGTTATGGGAGTGAAGAACCATGACAAAAACTTCCCTCCGTGATCTCACTTTCACCACTAATTTTGGCAAAATGTAAAATATCACAACTTTCTGTGACTCTTTTTTAATAACTTTTTCAAAGTTTTAACCTTTCAAGTGAAAGTTAACAACTATAAGCTGTTTTAAAGGATATGTTACAAAAATTAAACAGTTTTGGAGGAATATTGTCTTGTCCCTTTCAACCCAATAACCATTGTTTTTAAATACATATCACTGCACAAACGAAAAAATTGCCTTTGGGTGAGGCAAAGAATAATTTTGGATGCTATAAGGAAAGGGAAGCTACTTTTATTCAGGCTGATCAATGCTCATTTTCATACAACACACATACCCTGGATATCCAATCCACTGTTTCCTGGTTGAATTGAAATTTATATAATGATATACATATACATATATTTTCATACATATACATTTATATGCCATAAATCCACACGCTACAAAGATCTAGGGTTGACTGAAAAAACACTGAACTAATGCCTGTAGCAAAAAAGGAAAAAAAATCAGGCAATTTGCATACTCATATTGATTCTCTGTATGTGTGTGACAAAACAAATTATGTCATACTGTATGATGTGAACATTCTTTATACAGTGTAGGGGTAACCTAAAGTAAGATTTTTTTCTTTCTTACCTCAGATTCTTTCAACTCTCCTTCCCATTTACATCCTGCCTCCAAGAATAAACAATGAATTATGGTACTCTCAACTTTACTGCTGATTATGTCATCTGGTAAGAACTTAACAAAAAGGGAGTGGAATCAGGAAGCATCACAGATTATTCATATGGTCTGTGCAAGAACACAGAGGAACTTTATTGAGCCATGGTTTGTTCATTCACCACCTCAGTATTACCATGTTAAGCCTATGCCACTCACACAAGTGGTTTCAGGCAGTACTGCAAACATTTTGAATGTTTGTTTGATTTTTTCAACATACAACATCTTGTACATGCAATTTAGAAAAAAGAAAGGAGCAATGAGGTAAGTAAGGGCTTATAGAGCAAACCAAATAGCATGATTACTGCCTGAATAATACTGCCAATTCTCCTGTAACTAATACCATCATTTGAATGCTTGAGCAGTGCAGTACATCACTAACAACATTTATTAAAATTTTCACCCTGTGGTCTTTCTCAATAATGTCTTGGAAGTTAGTCCCAAGGTAAATTTGAGCATTTTGATTAGCTCTCATTTGGCTAAGATATTGCCATATTGACCATTTTCTCAGACACAGTCATAAGCTGTGTATTTTTTCGTTAAAGCTGGCAAATTCACATTAAACAAGTTTGATCTGGTTGCCCTTTAATAAACCACTCACTAACTTTGCTTGCTCAAGCAATACTAAAAAGGATTGGCCCTTGCTTGATTGTGTATAGACCTTGCTGCACTTAGTCCATACAAAAACAACCTTGAGCCAATATTCCCCAGTATAGCCATCAAGCTTGGTTAGGAATTTTAAGAAGCTAGTGGTAAATTTACCTCATAAATAACAATTATCAAGGCAATTCTACAATGTATAATCTTATAACTGGGCTCAACGCTAATACTTGTATACCACCAGTGCCAAACATGAAGATTACCTGATAAAGGAAGAGAGGTGTTCTGCACTTTCTGCAGTAAGCTACTGCTCCTTGATTTCCCCTAGTTGTTGTCAAAAAAATAGCTAATTAGCATTAAGAATAAAATACTGTGCTGCGAGGAAATATTGTGGGTATCAATTCTTGCCTATTCTGCAAGTGGATCTCAAAATCCCAAAATAAAATGATGATTGTGTTCTACTTGTTGTATCAGATAATTAGCCAGTAAGGTTTTAAGAGGCAACAGAATTCAAGGACTTGTTATAAATTTAGCAAACCATCTCGGCAAAAGATGTTACATTTCCTTAAGTTCCTTGAACAAAAAATCACAAAAATAAGTTTAAGGAGAAGTAACCATCATCGTCATCATAAACCACTGTTGCAAGGCTCTAAAGACTCTTTCTCATAGTTGACTATGATGACTAAAAACCATAAAATGGTCACCATGAATAAACTGTGTAATTAAGAGAGAATAAAAACACTTGCTGGTAATCAGTTTTAGAAGTTCATGCCATTTCACAGAGCTTTTAACTCAGACAACCAGGGAGAAATACAACATACACAAGATAGAGAGACTTCCTAAACAATAATGCTCCAATTTACATTATACATTTTGAAAAAGCTTATGAGGCCTGAAAATGGACTGTTCAGTGTTTTGGTCACAAACATTGAAACTTCTCAAAGATGAATCAGTTCTTCAGCAAGAAAAACATGAGGCATTGCATTGACTCTCTGTCACACAATCCAACAAACTGTTTGTAAGTGCAACTCTAATTCTCAATCAGTACTAATCCAGTATGAGATGACATACTTAGACCAAATATATGTGTAAGTAGTATTATGCACCAGTTTGAGTTAAACCTTGCACCCCTGTGGCCAGGACATAAAGGGGTATTAGACTGTTGCTCAGTGCTAATCTTGTAGAAAGCCCTGCACCCCAAGGCCAGCTTTTTCCTTTGAAAAAAGGTGGTAGACAAAGGCTAATGTAAACACTTTAACTTTATTGCATGGAACTTCCACACATTAACCCATTGACACCTAATCTGCTCATAACAACCCCAACTTCCCCTGAACCACCCATAACCACCTGCGCATAACAACCCCAACTTCCCCTGAACCACCCATAACCACCTGTGCATAACAACCCCAACTTTCTCTGAACCGCCTGTAACCACCTATAAAAAAGGTGATCCTATTACAATCTCACCCCACTCTCCCCTAGTAGATCTTTGTGTTTTGTTGCTATCATAGTGACTTCTAAGGATGATAAACCAATCATTTAGCCTTCTTTCCACAGATTTTGATGACTAGTTAGTGGTGCCACTAAAGATTTCTGAAATTTTCATATTGAAGCACACAGTTTATGATGGCTGACAAGATTTCCAGGGGTTGAAGCACTCTTTGGAGACCCAGGGGATTAAGGAAGCTGTGATGGGTTTAATGAGCTTGATAGGAAAGGTTTAAATCTAGGTAATGAGTTTGAGTTAGATCCACATGATTTAGAGGCTGGAGACAAAGATATCAATGCTGAAGAAGAAGCTCACTGGACTAACTAGCTTGACAATATCTAAGTTCACCAATTTGTAGCCTCTACAGGTATTAATTAAGTCTTAAATAATCCCAATGAACTAGACATATTTTTAACTTTCATTAGGGATGATTTTAATGTGGGATAAAAAATGGTTGAGGAAAGTAATCATTATGCGCACCAGAAGTTAGGTGATCAATTTGAAAGTTTTTGTGCCATAACACAGGTTGAAATGAAGGCACTCATAGAAATTATTATAAGTATGGGTATTGTTAAGCTTCCAGCTTATGCTCTTTACAGGTCAGGTGATGAATGTTTAGGAAATCTAGGGATCAAGAAGGTAATGACTAAGAATAGGTTTGAATAATTAACTTGCTTTATACATTTTTATTAATGATTCAGCTATGGAGCTTACAGAGATTACAATCACCTTTTCAAAGTTTGACCAGTTTTATATCATGTCCACACTAAATGTGGGGGAAACTTTCTGCCTACTAAGTATATTTCTGTAGCTGAGGGTATGACTTGTTTTCGGGGGAGGTTATCTTTTAGGCTGTACATTCTGGTTAAGCCCACTAAGTATAGGATAGAGGTTTGGATGGCCACCAGTCATAGTATTAAGGTTATGTACTGAATTTTTTAGTGAAGAACCTAATCAGCAGCCAATAATTTACAGCTTAGGGTATGACCTGGTGACTAGTATGATTAGGCCTTACAAAATAAAATCAACACACATTTTTTTTTGGACAATTATTTTTCAGCTAAGTAATTAGAACATTTAGAAAGTAATAACACTAAGGCTTGTGCCACCATAAGATCTTATTGAAGGACTAATGCCTCCATGAGTAACAATAAGTTGCGTCCTAAGGAGAAACAAGTTCTTAAAAAGGGTTATGTAACTTTTACTAAGCTGCATGACAAGAGAGATGTTAGTGTAAATTCCTCTAATTTTAGTCCTTTAGCTGTAGATTTAGAGGGTTGAAATTGATAACACCCATACCACGCATAACTACAATCATCTTTGCTAAGGAACACAAATAACCTCAAACAATACATATCAAGTGGTAAATTGTTTGTAGTGTTTAGGTCTTGAGTTAACATTTACAGAAATAAGGAACCATCTTTTCAATTCCAGTCTTAGTTCACCTCCATTTCTCCACCAGTCCTAGATGGCATGCAAAAGCCATCAAAGTTTTGGAAAATCACATCCCTTTAGCTCCTCAAATGACACAAAATTCCCTGCAAATTCCCCACATGTCCTAATCCCAGGGGTGCAGGGGTTTACATTGACTAGTGATGCCTACCTGAAAAGAAACTCCACACATGACCTGCAGTAGAAGTGCCCACATTCTGCTCTCCAGGCATCTCTTACCACTGTGACACAGTACTCACAGAGGAGTTCTTGAAATATCTCTTTGTCTACCTCTGGTACTGGGTAACCTGGCATTGTTATTGCTGTCTGATCTTTAATACAGAAAGTAGCTCCATGGGAGCCGCATCAACTGAGGATGAGGTTTCAGTGCTCTTGAAAATTCGAAGGCCCCACCGGTAAGTCTGCAAAACCGGGAGTAAATAGGAATACTTAAAAAGGAGTAAAACGTATTAGTTCAAAATATAATAATAAGTACTTGCCCTTGAAAACCTAATAAGCTCTTTGACTGCACTTCCTTAGAAAATTTTCCTTCTAGGTAATCAAGTTCTGTCAAAGATCGATCCACACGAACATCACGATCGCATGAAAATGATCTCCCACAGCAATAATGATTGAGATTTGCTACTTTTATAGCATACGACTGAATTACGATGACATTAAGATAAAAGAACAAGTTTCGTGTGAAGCAACTAAGTCCACTGTTTTGAATCATGGAGTTAATATAAATTGATTTCTTGATCATGAAGTTAGCGACCTACCGCTTTATGTGATCTTCATAGTGTTAAAATCGTCGGTCTCGAAAACTATTGATGGTATACGATAGGAATCGGAAAGAATTAAAATATCTGCCTTAAATTCGCCTTTGGGAAGGAAAGGAAACTTATTAAAAAGCGAACTTAGAAAGTGCCTTGCACCTCATGTAAGCGATACTGAATTATTCACTCCAAATATGGAAAGACAAGCTATACAAGTATCAATATTGAAAGTATCTGAATAGCGTCGCTACGAGTGGGGTATACTTAAATCTCAACATTATTTTAAGCTTCTGGTCAAGTGGATTCACCTTTACAGAGCAAACAAATAGTATCGACATTACTCTGACAAGCATTAACAAATGCTATCTTCATTAACAGTTCATTAATTGTGCTAAAAGCTCCCGTTCTCATGTATATGGCACGAGATGAGATACGACAGGAGTAGGGGAAGGGGATGTAGGCTAGTTAGGAAACTTTTTTGTAATTATACATATGTAGATCTGATGGCGCTATTTCGATGAAACATATGCGCAAGAGAACGAGAAAAGCGCCGCGAGTTATGTTAACCTCTCCCTATATAAAGTGAAATTTGATTTAATGTCCAATAAATCAGGGCAGCCAGCCCCCTTATCAGAAAAGGTTTTTTTTTCGCAGTTGCAGGGGCAGATTCTCCAACCAAGAATTTATGCCTATGACCCGAGCCAAGCCAGTAAATCCCTGGTTCAAAAGTAACGTTCCTGACGTCCAACAGGGAATCTTTAAAAAAAATTTTGAAAAAATTCTTAAAGGAGCACTAAAATAAATAAATTGTTTAAAACTATGGTTTTTCAAATTTACCATGCTCCTCAGTTTCTACAATCTCCGCGTGTGCTTGTTAAAAACGAGATGTTAAACCCTTCAAGATAACAACAAACTCGAAGTACTTCAAATGTTCAATACACTTTATTAGGTCTATTTGTTCAGGATTCAAAAAAAATATCTAGCTTCCTGAATAAATTACTTGAAAAATTCTAGGTTACACTTTAAATCCCATTAATCAATCCAGCTAACTAGTTTCCTCGCCATTCTAATAATATTAACCGCGAGACCTTAATCTAATTTTCAAATCAAAAGAGAGTACCATACAAACTTTAAATTAGCTGGCCTGGTGGACAATGAAACATATTCTAACATATTCTACTTGCCACTATTGATTATAACCATGGTGCGAGACACTATTAAGTCTAGTTGCACTCTACAAAGGCTAAAAGAGAATACATTATGCTATCCTTACCCAAATTTACCATTAATCATAGAACTTATAGGAATATCATCAAAAGTCTAATACATTATTTCAATCAGCATATTTGCCTGGTTTTATATACCAGAAATACAAAAAGGAAAAAAAAACTACGTAAAAAATAACATCAGCTCTTGAAAGTATGTGTGTAACTTTTTCTTTTTTTTTCTTTCTGTGAAGTTCGACTAATATTTATAATTCTAGTGAGTGTTTTAAACAATATTTCATCAGGCTTGGCTCAGTCTTGTTGTTCTATGCTGACAAAAAACTACACGCATGGCTACTTTAACTTAAAAAAGTACCTTATAACAATAAAGAGATATCGATTTAGTGTTGAGAAACCAATGCAAACCCAAAGTAATCATGGAAGCCAATCATAACCAAGAAAAATATGACTTTTAGCCAATGAAAACTCAGTTGAAACACGCAAGCTATCCAAAAGGCGGGAAAACAAAAGCGTCTAAATCGTACATGTTCTTTTTTTTTTTTGGTATTGAGAGAGGTTGAGAGAGTTGTGTGTTCTCTTGACCAATCACAGGGCAAAGGAAATCAAAACTATATTGAAATCCTAGATTACTTTGGCTACTTTATTGTGAAGTTCTCTGTTGTTACAAATACTTTCGGTCATTTAGCTTATCTTATTCTAATAACTGTTAACCCTTTAACTCCCATGAGTGACCAAGACAGAATTTCTCCTTACAATATCAATACAATATCAACCAGCTAAGTGATAAGAATAAAGAAAAATATCAAATTGGGGATAATCAGTTGATCCAATACTAAATTCTCGGAACTAACATTATAGGAATTGTATGGTTGACAGTAAGGAGAATGAAAAATTTGATCTGGGAGTTGAAGGGTTAAAAAACGCCATTTCACGCAGGCTTAGCCTGATTGTGACTCTGACATAAGACAGAGCAATCTCATCAAATATATTGCAGCTTTTTCCAGCCAAAAGTTGACTTTTCCAGTGCTACTCATTGTTTAAATCACTACTTTGTTCAGGCTTAGCCTGGCTATACTAACAAAATCAAAAAGAGTACAAAATATTATTGCAGATGTTTTTAGCTGAAGAGCAGTCTGTGCCCTATCCATATTTTGGGCAACTAATCAGTGAGTCACTCTTAAAAAAAAACTGGAAAAAAAAGGAAAAAATTTCCTTGTCGTTTTTTACTTAGAATGCAAGTATATATTCACCCTAGGAAAGTTTTGGCCAGCTGATGTACACACAAAAAGCACTGCGCCAACAACCGCAATTAAACATGCTCGTTGCCAAACAAAGAACGTATGCGTGCCAACCTTCGATTGGTGCACTCTACCAACAGAACAGCACCATTTACTATAATGGAGACAAGAGTTCACAAAGGTGAAAGATCACAAGCATACTGTACTTGGCTTAGATTAACTCACAGAATGAGAAATTTTCGAGCGTGACTAACGCAGAGTAACGGAAAATCATTATATGTGATATCGATGTTATACATGACAGCTATACGAAAAATTGAAAGTCCAATACAAAGCAAATGTGACTAATATTTCCTGAAACATATCCTGTGAAAATTTTTCAGTCTTATTGAGGTAAATTTCAGGCTTTCTTTAACTGCCGAGCAAAATTCTAGAGTTTTGAGCAGAATTGTGTAATGTTCACGCGTATTCACCGGGAAGGTATACTAACCGTCAATAAGCCATTAAACGAGAAGGACTTATCCAACCCCATTGGGTACAACTGGACCATTACTTACGAGTAAGGTATCAACTCGCCTATTCAAAGTGCTGACATCACGCTGAAACATTAGATTAAGGTTACCAAGAGCACGGCGAAGAAGGGCCATATTCTCTTCATGGGTGGAGAGGAATACGCGTTGGTTCTCGACTTCATCTACTACATCTCGCATTTCATTCCTCATTTTTTCCTCCAGGAAACTTCGCAATTCTTCCAACTGTAAATGGAACTGATCAATTGCCGTCTTCATCCGCTCTACGCGAGAATCCATTTCTTCCAGGTGGGAACCCTGGTCGGCCTGTTTCTTTTCCACTTTCTCGGTGCGTTGACAAATTCCTTTAATGAGCTCTTTTAAATCCCGTATTTCCTTCTCCATCTTCTCTAGTTGATGATTCGTTTCTTTTACCATCTGTGAATGAAACTGGTCATTCGTTTTCTCTATCTTCTCTATACGAGAACTCATCTTATCCAACTGTAAAGCGTATTCGGCCACCTTCTTCTCGTTTCCCTCGACACGTTTATCGATTTCTTTTAACAGTTCCTTTGCGCCCTGTATTTCTTGCTCTTTGTTCTCCTTTTGATGATCCTTTTCTTTTGCTTTTGAATGGAGCTGCGCCATTGTCTTCTCTCTCCCCTCTTGACGAAAATTCAGCTCACCCAACTGTAAAGCGTCCTCGTCTTCCTTCCTCTCTATTGTCTTAAAATGTCTATCAGTTTTCCTCTTTGTGTCCTGTAATTCTTTCTCTATGTTCTCTTTTAGACGATGCACTTCTTTTACCAGCTGGAGCTCGGCAGCCGTTACCTCCACCCTCTCTTTACTACAACACGATTCTTTCAAATGTGAATAACTGTCCTTGGCCACCTTCTTCTCCGTTTCCTCGCCACCGCTATCTGCTTCTTTTAACTGCGCATGGTCCTGCAAATGTTCCTGGTCTACGGCCTCAATTTCACCCATACCTTTCAACTGTGAGTGGCACTGGGTCATTTCGTTTTCCAGCGTCTTCCGAAGTTGGGCCATTTTTCCAGCTTGCCTAGTGGTCTTCTGATCGTTCTGTCTGTAATGATCCCTTTCTTGTAGTTGTGATGCAAGCTGATCAATCTTCCTATGCAATTTTTGTTTGAAGATTTCTTCTTCTTCTAGTTGCGATTCAAGCTGGTGGATTTTCTCCTGCAACTTTTGCTTGAATATTGCATCTTCTTCATGACGTGCGTAGCATTGAGGTATCAAGTTTTCGAGGTACGCTAATCTTCTTTCAAGCTTCATAATGTACCTTCCCTCAAGACTATCACTTTCGAACCGGGTTGGTATCTCAGAAGAACTTGTGTCAGCGACCACTTCGGTTTTTGAAGAGGCAACTACACTAGAGGGCGTGCTCTTAATTTCGACTTCCTCTTTTTCTGTTCCTTTTCTTAAGCCAAGTGCTGTTTGTAAGCGGTTGACAGCTAGAACCTAGGAAATATAAAGAAAACAGTATAGAGAATATGCATGATGATGTTGGGGTGTAAAGGATCATTGCAGTATTAAATGTTGGTAAAAATGAACTTAGCTGGGTGCAACAGTTACGAAACACTGAAAAGTGTCTGACGGTGATTTGAAGACATTTTAATCAAAAGGGCTGTTAGCCTCTGTGGGTAAATGAATCTAACAAAGGTAAGAACAAATAGCCAGTCGTAATCAGTTCTTCCCTACGTATATAATATAATTAGAGCCAGGCACAAGAACAGCAAGGCACCTGGATAAAAGTGTCATCAATATTTACCTCATTTAATTGTTTCGATGCATTTTCACGTTGATCAAAACCCTTCTCATCCTCGATTGGCTCTGTCTGTAGACTTATCCCCTCAAGATGACTGTTTTTAAGAGATCTTAAGTTGTCGTCCTTAGTTTCCTACAATTAAAAAATTACATAAATGGCGTGCGTCGTTCAAGAGGGAAGGTGTGTGTTCGTATTTTTAACAGTGAATCAGACCTGACGAAAAAAAAATTTGAAGTATTAAACTAAATCATCTAATAAGTTTGTGACTGAAGTGGGTTTGGCACTCTTTTTGGCAAAAATTGCAGCATCGTTTCTACAAACAGTTAACCAAACGAAAAAAAAACCACCAACAACAACAATAGCAACAAAGATCCGTGTCACGCCAGCGCTAACTCGTGTTTGGATTTAAAAAAACTTTAGAAGTTCACATTATTATAAAATTCCGTCACTGCTAAGAAGCACACAGACAAAATTCACTTCTGATGTAATCATTCCAGTACAGCCGTTTCTTTTTCTGCAGTCTTCACAGATATGCTTTGTGAAAAGAAATGTTTTGGGTCTCTTTGAATTTATAAATATATTTTTCATATTTTCTAGTGTTTTGACGGCTTTTCATTCAGTATTTAGAAAAAAGACTTAAGAAAGTTTTCACGTCTGTCAAGCGTCGATAGTTTCTAGGCCGCTTGAAAATCCCTTCCCCCCCCCTCGGGCAACCCAGTGACGACCTTGCTTGGCTGGGAATGGGGAATTAGAACCGGTAGTGTCCAGTCTTTCCAGCGGAATACAAGTGTTATCTTTAAATATGGAGGTGTCAAGGGTAAATAATTTACTTTCGCGTGCGAATGGCCAAAAAAGGGTCTACAAGGTCTAGCCTTTAAGCTTGGTCCGTGTCTAGGGAGTCACGGTCGTTGATTTTGCCTTTTACAAAAAAAATTGGGTCGGGCATTTAAACACAATTTTGCCCCAAAGGGGGGGGGGGGCAAAAGTTCAAATGCCCGGGAAAGGGATATTAAACTTCGAATTGATCGATACATTAAAAACCGTGAATAAAGACCTCCCTTCACTAATTGATTGATGAAAACATATGATACTTTTTCACACCTCTTCGTTGTTGGAATCGGCAGTTACCATGTCATTGTTGTCATCTTGTCCAGGGCATTTTTCTTCAGCCAGGCCCTACAAAAGAAAAGAGTCAGTCAAATCTTCACCCAGAATTCACACTTTTTCGATCTTGTTATAAATTTAAAGAAAATACACGATGAACATTTATTTATTCATTTCATTCGTATTACAGGTATTTACAGTAACACAGTGACTTTGGTCATAGTGATTTCCGTGAGTGATTTGGTTCCTGGGATGGGTGAAATTGATTTAAGGGTGAAGGGTTTGTGAGGTGAAGGTGAAGTTGGTAGAGTCTATTGTCAATAGTTGATAACAGGTTGTAAGGTTGCAAGGTAGATACGGTTGATGATCAGTTGGTCAGGTTACATGGGTGCTACTGTTGGCAACATTATAACTATCACATGATCATGCAGAGGTTTGGGGAAAGTTGATAAATGTAATAGTGATGATAAAGTTCAGGTAATTTAAGGTTGATAATCTGGGTCAATTGGGCTGAATTTGTTAGTTAAGTGGTATCTAGTGAGGTTTTGTGAGATTTGACAGGTTTGGACCAGATGTCATTCAATTTGGTCATTAACTTTGTTTGGTTGTTAGGATCAGAGGAGGCCAGGCAACTAGACACTGCACTGGGCTTGGCAGATAAAGGAGTGAGCAGATTTTGAAAGATGCATCATAAATCCTAAATTGACCATGCAGTTGCTCACAACCAATTTAAGAGGGATTATAATAACCTTTTGGTAAACATTTAGATCAGAAATGCCAACTCTCACCTTCTTTTCCTCAAGAGATTCTTCTCTTGTGAACTGTGAAGTCGAAGCACCAGTTTCTTCCATTATGTAAAGAGATTTAATATCTCATGGAAGTGCAGAGCAAAGAGGCCAGATCAAAAATATATTGGGGGTTCCTATGGGGAAACAAAACATCTCTCAAATTTCTTTAGGATGAAGAATTGAAATCAGATGTAGCATTCATGAGATAAAAAGACAAAATAAATTTTTATTGCATCAAAGTAGTCTTTCTTCTCAACCCTGGGCTCCAAGCTCATTTCCCATTGACTTTTATCGGAGAATCTCAGAGAGTATGTACCATACTTATACATGGGTCTAAAATTGCTGAAATAACTCCCTGATTACCCTGTTTAATCTGAGTTAAAATTTATTCTGAATAAATTGCAATGGCAAATCATTGCAGCCACTCTACTGGTCAGGTTTAGGGAAAATTAAGGAGCCTAATAGGAATGATTGGCAAGAGAAGACCTTTCTTATCGTTAACAAGTGTTACTTTTGCTATAACTTTATTTTTTGACAAACCATGTACAAATAAAAGTTATGTAATAAGCATATTAATTTTGTAATGTTACAGCACAATGTACTACAAACAGTGGATTCCAATTAAAGCTAAAAATTCTTCTCACCTGCAAGGTTATACCTTATAAATTATGTAAAAATGAACTGAAAAAAATTCACTAACTATTATAAAGGTCTACCCACATTAAAGTTACCCTTGCTTATTTTTCTTACAAAGATTCAATTTTAGGTAGTTTGCTGGATTATTCACTGCAGAATTAACCCTTTCTTTGAAGATTGAAGACAATATATACACTATTTGCATTCTTGGCATATAGTAGGGGCACTGTCCTTTCTAGCTGTGCAAGTTTATTAATGACTTGTTAAGGGACAGGTCATTATTAATGTAAGGAAACAAATGCTGGAAAGATCAAAATTTCTATAAGCTCCCTCCCCCTCCAGGCCACGTAAATAGACCCCCCTAATATTTAGGTTATGACCCCCTGTCACCTCATATCTCCTCTTACACAGGGAGTAATTATTAAAAGTCATGTCAGATACAGCCAGTAAGATGATTACTTTGCATAAAAATGAAACAGTCTCACCTATATTGTTTGCTCTCTACTTTTTCACTGTTTTACTCACCTTGGGCAAATTGAACGACTCTTAAAATGTACCACAAACCACTGCCCATCCTTAACTTCTTTATAAAAAGTTTTGCCCCCCTCTAACCAATCTGAAATAGCCTTGCTCCCCTCCTTTCTTTTTTCCCTCCCCTCTTCCACATAATTATTTAACAATAAGACCCTAAGTCAGGAGTCACACTCTGTCTGCAATCATACAAGTGATTGAATATTTTGGACAACTGCAAAACAGTAGTCTGATTTGTCAATCACAAGTCATACAGTCATGAAGCCCTGTTATCAATTTATTACAGAAATTAAAGTTTCCATGAAAATGTTTGTCTTATAGATTTAAGAGGGGCTTATAATATTCCAACTATATTCTTAAAGACAAACACTATCTTTGAAAAAAAACAGCTTTGAGTTAAAACTAAATCACATATAGATACTGTAAATACTGTTAACAAATTAATATATGTGTCATTTGAATGTATCATATCTTATTTTTTATTTTAGTTTCATAAGAAATATTTTAAAAGTTTGCATGAAGTCGCATTAATAAACTGCTGAAGAGTGATAAATTATGGCCTTGTGATACATTGGTTTGGAAAGTTCCACTTTCAAAAGTAACTACCTTCGCATAATCGAGCGATAATGGCAGACAACATTGTGGTGTTCGTTTCTTGGCATTCCAGTATTCATTTCATTCTCAGAAAAACTGTGCATTGTTAAAAAAATCACAGCTTAATAGACCAACACATCCGGAGCGCAAATCAAGTTTTTGATCGACAAAGTCCTTTTCAATGACAGTCTAAACTAGGTATCAAGAATCGATACATACAAAACAGAGATTTTGGAAATTAGACATTAATTAGTTTGTAATATTATTCCTCAGTTGTCTGAGCAGGACACGTTGCTTGAAGTCATCCCAATATATGCCTTAAAGAAAATGATCAAAATGATGAAGATTACGCCAAGCCGTCAGTCTTGTGTCTGTTGTAAATGAATTTATTTTTTCACTCCAATTCTAAAGGAGTATGCTACCAAGCAAACTGCCTAGAGACACGCAGAACAACGCGAGAAACGGAAGTTCGAATACGAGTGATGTTCGAATTACCGATAAATGCTCTTCGGGGAAAACGGTTTTGGGTGCTTTATTCGTTTACCTCGCCATAAATTCATTATTCTGGCAGGTTAAACTTTAGAATATTTCCTAAATTGTCGACAATTCTCTATTGCGATAATTGAATTAAATTTGCATGTGTTTTTCTGTCGGTTTTTTTTTTTGTGATAACTTTTGAAGGTAACCTTTTCCGCTTTTCTATGGATTCCTCATCGATCACTTTTGATCTGATGTATTGCATTAAAATGATGGTAGTAATCTAGTTGAAGATGAAGGTTCGCGAAAGTTGCACGATGTGTGTTTAGCTTATGCTCAGTTCCGTAAAGCAAATGACGTAACTTCCTTGTTTCTGCATTTGTTGGCTCCAACAGATCACGACTCGAAGTGAGTTCTGTCACAAGCACTGGTATTTGTAAGAACATGGCAGTTGATTTACATACAAATTTTTCCTGCTGATACTGAATAGAGTGAGGACTTTATTTACGATTATGCTAAACTCAAGTAGCAACAAACAGAGTCAAGTATACCTACACTTGGTGCACTTAACCAGCAAGGAACAACTCACACTATCCTCTGTCAATGTCGTAGGCATACACGAGAGTTTAACTAGGACCAGACAAACTTCTTTCGACAATACTCCAAAATATAACCCTTGTACGCCTAAAAGTGAATAACGGGAAATCACACTTTTGATCAAAATAATATCGCTTCATAAAAGTTTGGGGTTCCCCCATATCCCACAATGCATTGAGTACGGCTATGATGTCATGCCCAAAAAAACAACTACAGAAACTAAATTACAGAAAGTGCGTTGCATGTTAAGGCCAAGCAAAGGCTTCAGAGTGGCCGAATAACCCTTCGATGACTAGTATCAGGGATTTCGCCACTCAGAATAATGTCCTAAGCTTATCATACAAAGGTAGAGAATATAAACAGCCCATGTCAGTCTAACCACAGCAGACAGGTATGAATATCTCCAAACCGTAATGTATTAAGGTTTTTCAAGTTTGTTAATCACCTTTATATATGAGAAAGTCGCTCCCATTATATGAGTTCACGTTACCTAAATCATTGTCTTCGCAAAGACAAGGAAATAACTTTAAAAATTTTCTTTTTCAAGAGCAAAATACCGGTGAAAACAGAAAAAATTACAAGGATCATAAATAAATAAAAAAAAATAGAATTCTTTAAGCCTGACACCACCCTTTGGCCACGAAACGCAATCGACGGCTGCCTTGGAAGTCTTTGCATTGGAGTAGAGGACCAACTAATTGTATTATCCTTCAAATTTGGAGTCAACAGATTGGCAAAAGAATTAGACCTACCGCAAATGGAATGCTAGTCGTGACATTGAATCTGTTTATCTCCAATTTCTGGACGAGACGTTCGCCTTCGATAAAAATTGCGAGTAGCCTTCCAACCCCAGAAATTTTGAAGGATTAACGGTTTGTATTTTTGAGTAGAGATAGCCTGTCATTTGCTGTCAGAAAAAGATTTTTTACACCAACAACCATACACAGGCCACGCCCGCTTCCTTTCATCTTCCTTTCATCGCGGTCAATTACAAGTTTTTAAGTGAAGGATATCACGTGTCGCGGATCATAACTATGTGAAATATTCTAGTGACCTTGACAAATCAATCTACTTAAAAAGGCCCATCGATTTGGGTAATGAATGCGCCATAAACGAACTTAGGGAGGTAATGCCTACAGTAGAAACATATTTTTTTAATCTAGTCTGCAAGCAAACGTTGTCAGAAATGAGGCGCTGTGTCTAATAAGGCTGGAATTGACTCTTTCAATTCAAGTTTTCAAAGCAAATTATTCACCGATCCAGCTTGAACTTTCCTGAAAAATTTGTCATCAATTTCAGGTGGCTCTGCGACATAAAAAAATGTTAAGTATAAAGTACAACCAATAAACTTTAATTTATTTTCTCTACCTAGCTATCTTAAACAGTGTATTGTTAACTTTCAAGCTAAATAATATAATTCACTAAACTTGTTCGAAAGTAAATAATATTTTCTATTCTAATCAACACACATGGGCGTTAACTATCAAAAGGGGCAAATTCAGAGAATTTAGATGTATGGAGACAAAAAAAATTGTGGTAAAATCACAAGCTCGCTGCAATCGCAACAACACTTCGACATCCGCTTACGAAAACCTTAGTTAAAAAAAAAAAAGAAACAAAAAAACTAAATTCTCTAAATCCTCTCACAGCTAAAATATTCACACTTCAAGAAATATGTCATTATAATATATTTTTGTTCAGGTTTTTTTTGTCTTTTTACTTACTTAAACCTTAAAAAGCTAAGATATTTAACGCCAGTGGAGCTTTGGTCAAAACTCGCGTGTACATTTTTCCAGTAGATTCTTATCCAAAATGACCGTTTATTCACGCTTAAGTCATGTTCACAAAAATTTCTCTAATATTACGATAAGATTAAGCTTAACATACACTCTGCAATAGTACCATTTATATCACCAGCAAGAGTAGACTAAATTTGCGTGTTTCTTACCAAACCAGAGCCGCAAACTGAGAAACGTGAAAGCACATAACGAGTAATAAAGAAATTATACACAACGAGTTGCAGCACAATTGTATTTGACTCTCTCGGCATGGTATGAAGTAAACGATCGTCGTGGTTGTAAATACAACAGGTACTGCGAGAAGGACCTCACTACCTCAATAACCAATACTAATTATCATTACCTAAGATACTAAAAAATATTAATATGGGCTCTTTGATCTTGAGAGTGAATCATTCTTGTTTGAAATTAACCCATGTAGGCATTACTATGGCATCCTAACCGTACAATCTGAGCAAATACTGTCTATCATCAAAAAAAGAAGCCTGTCTAAATTGGTCCCTGACCACCTGAGTTCATGTTTGATCCCGATATTATTTTAAAGCAACCTCTCACTAAAAATGTTTCCCGCTGTTCTAACGTAGTTTATAGATCATCAGTATCTACAATAATCTTCACAAACATGGTGTCGTCTCTGACATATGCGTGATTATTCAGCTCAGCAAGCGAGCAGAACATTGGACACCCACTGGCGATGTTTGTTTCTCTTCTTGGCCTCTGAAAGGATGAGCTGTTCGGATCAGGTCTGATGGAGTCGATTACGTGTTCCACGTCATCCTGATCCAGTAACATAAAGGTGACCTTTTGTCTGAATGGCCAGCGGAGAAGGGCGTCATAATGACCACGCATGATCACAAAGTAGACAGAGATGTGCGTTCCTCTACCCATTCCATCGCCGTTCAGATAGACACGCGCGCACATCTTATAACCGTAGCGACTGGTTGAGAAACTTGGACTGACGACGGAGACTTCCTCTCCATTAACTGCATCATTCCGTTTACGTGAAAAACCGGAAATCTTCCATAAAAGCTGACCATCGTAGCTTGAGGTATCTTGCTGTCCTACGTAATCCTTCAAGGATTCAAGTACCATTTTGATGTCAGCAGCTTCCTTTTCAAGACTGGCGACCCGTTGTGCAAAAGCAAGGTTCTGAACACTACCATTGGACTCACGGGGTGTTCCAGAGAAAGAACCTGCACTTGACAGATTTGCTGAAGCCACTGTCCTCTCCTGGGCATTTGGATCTTGGCATGTTGCGAGTGGACGTCGAGATCCATCTGCCAACAGCTGACCATCGAGGTGCTCCTGTAGTTGTTGAACTGCTTCGCGTAATCCATGTTGTTCATCCTGGAGTTGGTACACTGACTGATGCAGGTTATCTACAACAATTCCTAGGTTGTCCATCTGGCAGTGGAGATAATTGTGAATTCCAATATTAAGAAATAAGAGGCTTTGTCCATCTGGCAGTCTAATTGGTGGAGATGCAGTTCGAGTTTGTGATTCAAGCGAAGATGTTTCAAGTCCAACTGCTACTAATTACAATATTAAACTAATAACAAAGAATAACCAGCTTTTTCTTTTGACTCAATATATTATATTCCTTCTTCTTGAAACCGGTTTTGACAGTTCTCCTGCTTCACCTTCGCCTAAATCTTCAATTATGTTCCACTAGTGTAGCTTAAAACATAAAGAGGATAAAGAATCGCTCTGGAACGATCCAAATGAAACGTTTGCCCTTGACAACGCGTCAACAACATTCAATTGATTGGCAACATAACATATTTCTTACTTATCTACTGTGTTAAACCCTTGATAGAGAAAACACAAGCAGTACTTTATCATAAGGCATTAAATCTTAAGCATCCAAGGTCCCACTTTTTTTCTCATTTAATATTCACGAAAGGTGAGGGAGGCAACTGCATGCGCAAGGTGAAAACTCCCTACTTTAAGATCATCAATTTTGCGCAATTATTCTTCTTTAACTGAGCTAATATACAAGTAGCAACTATCATTTACTCCATGATCTGTAGATTGTCTTTGTCAATAAATGACATCCAGTACCTTCATTCTGCAGTAATCAAAAACTTCATCACAAAATTGGCATTTCTCTGGTCTGAAAATGCAATTCTTTTCTAGGTGTTCAGCAAGTTCACCTCTTCTAACCAGCACGTGACAAGCATCATACACACAAGGGAGTACCAAAAACTTGCATTCCCTTTTTTCATGATCCTGTTTAAAACAATTATTAGCAAATTACTTCACATAAATGTAGAAAGGTAAGTAATGAGGGCAGGCCTAATCAAAATAATTTGTAAAAGCATATGCATGCCTCTGATACAAAGGTCCTGTGTTGTGCCTTGGGCTTTGTCACATGTGATTGGATGTATTTTATGAGTAAATCAATTGCTCTTAAATATACTTACTAAAGTAATAATCATAATAATAATTATAATATAATATACAATATTACCTTTATCATTATTAGTAATATCATAAATGTTATCATTATTATCTTTAACATAATTAAGTGCTAATCAACTATTGCACATATTTCTATCAGGACAAGATAAAGATGATGGTTATAATATTCATCACAACATCAGTCAGTAGTTAATAGGGGAGCACCGTGGTATATTTTTTGTTTCACTTGTCATGAACATGATGTTTTTTACAACAATCTTCCCTTCCTCTCCCTCCCTAATTGTATTCTTTTGTATTTGTACACTTGATTTGATAATCTAGTCAATCAGAACTTGAACATGACATTGGAAAATGGTGTGGACACTTAATTTCAAGTGCTCTAATTTTTTTCTTTTTCAGAATTGAATTTTTGTTTAGTTTTTTAATTCCAAATTTGCCCCCTGTTTTGTTTTTCATTTAAAATTGTAATTAAAAATTTAAAACTAAGAAGTTGGACCCTTTTCTTTTATTATATTGGATTTTTTACACAAGGCACCTAAGTTCCAAATAAGAAAATTATAGTCAGATTGACATTTATCAGTTCAACAGTTGACACATGTTTTACTTTTAGGCCATAACGGGACATAAGAAATATCACCTCTAGATGGCTTAACATTCCTCTCCATGTGCATCCTTCATCCTGATTGGTACAGCCAACATTCTGACAAAGAACTTCACGCTCTATCCATTTGTCATGGAAAGTTTCATCCTGTTAATAAATAATTCATTAAGCAAGGCCTAAAATCAAGCTGCTGCTAGTACAGAGATTCTTTCCAGATTTGTTTTGCTTTCTGCTAAATAAAACATTCTTTTGGAAGTTTAAAAGTAATTTTACAAACTACCCTTCAAAAACGGTGTTTAAATCTTGCATCTGATGAAATAAAATGCCATTTCTCACACGCAATTGGGAGCAATGTCAAGCCCAACCTGCTGCAACCCTACTTTTATTACAAAGCATCAATATAGTATTACAGATCAATAAACAGGAAAAATGCTCCCTTGAGTACATGCCATTGACAAACTTGAGAAAATTAACAGACAAAACAACTTAAATTGTCTTAATGAAAACCCCTTGCCTACAAAGGCTTGATGCAAAGGTTTGATGTAAAGGTGCAACAGTGAAAGAGATAACTACATGACATTAAGGCAATAAAAACTACCCAGCTAGAATGGTGGATGGGTGGGAGGGAGATCAGGCAACTGCAATCAGCAGCAAGAAAACTTGTAAATTACAACCAACCATGAGTGATTAAACCCCTACACTAGACCCAGACACAGACTCCCAAATGTGTAGAAAAACATTTTCTGCTTCTTTTGTTCTTCAGCCAGCCCTTGCTTATGCAAACAACTCTGCATGCAAACAGTAACTCTTAGGTGTAACTTGCACCAAGAAAGCAACTTTCACTGTAACTGGCATAAAGAAAGCACCTGGCATCAATTTAGAGCTTTTGCAATAGCAGTTTAAATGATACATGTAATAAAGCAATAATAAATTTATTGTAATTACCTTGACAGACAGAGTGTAACATTTTGAGATTTCAGCTACAATTTGATAATTATGGCTCACATGATAATTATTTACTAGCTTGGAGCACAGAAAACTGTATTTCAATGAAGCAGCTTACTTTTATTATGAAATCACTTTCTTTCAAGCTGTCTGTGTCTGTCTGTCTGTCTAATTTTTGTCTTTGTTTCCAACAGATACACCTGCAACTGCAATTTCTAGTTGCTTTCATACAGGACAAGGTCAGGGTATCAGTATTTAAGGCCAGGTTTTGTGGCACAACTTTATTAAAGCAGACAAAATAAAATTTGATTGTGTGACAATGCACCAACAGTTTTGGGTGTTACCCTGTTTATGTATAAACATTTAAGAACCATCACAACAATGGCCAAGAACACCAGCTAAGCTAGCCCCTATAACTGATTTGGTTAAAAATGCTTGGGTTACTAATGACTTAAGTAACAGCCTCAACTCTTTAACACCTCCGCAACTTTGCATGTGTGTTAACTAAAAGTAAAATGTCACAAGTCTGTTATAAGCAATTATTGAATGAGATTGAGCATGCTATCATAAATTATTAATATCTAGGTCTGAGTTATTCTCCAGAGACTGATAAAACAGATGGGAGGTTTACTAATTCATGACATAGAAAAAAACTGAATTCAGTAATTGTTTTATGATTCATTTTTTTTCAACAATTTTCAAAAGACAGCAACTCTCTTAGAGTTTTCAAAAGTTTGAGAATACCTATAAATAGGCAAGGCCAGGGGCTTGGAAACTAGGCAGACTTTGAACTTCACATGGTAATTCAATACCTGGGATGTTGAGATGTTATTTAGAGCAGGAATGGGGAATGAGAAATTGAAAATGGGAGAATAATTTTCTTTAAGATTTATTGTTTGTTATGTGGTTTTTTGTCTTTTTTTAAGTGGTGATAATCAATATCCATGCTTTTTTTTTTCTTTTTCAAAAACATTAATTTAGAAAAACTTGCCAAATTTTTGCAAGTCACCAATTTTTTTGCCAATCTTCAAAGGACCCAATGTCCTACTGCAGAAGCTTCCAAATTTCAGCTAAACAAGCATTCATGTTTTCTTTAATCATTAGCTGTCATGATATGCAAGATGTGCCCTGAGGATAAAATTTCATTAGGAAAAAATTTAGTTAGTCCACCAGTCAAGTTTGGCATGTGATGATAGGATTTTCCTCATGTATCTGACCCTTTTTCTTTTAACTAAAAGGAATATGAGTGCTGCTTCAGTTCAAATGTCTGTGACTCATCCTGGGTTGAGTAAAACTGCCAGCAATTTGGAAAACGTATAGTTTCCACAGAAAATTCAATCTCCTTCTGTAGCAAGTCCTGAAGCCAGCACAAGTAGTGTAAGTGTCTACCAAAACACTAAAGATCAGCAGAAAAAAAGGATCCTTTCCTCCATAGAAATTCCAGCAAGATTTTATTATGTTATTTTTTGGAGCAAGATGAGTCTGTGATTGACATATGATTCAATCAGTGAAGTTTTAGAATACTAGTTTGATGCAACCGCCACCAAAATTTGGAAAGAGCAAAAATTTTGCTAGTTTTTGATTTGTGAAAAAATTCAAAAAATATTCTTCTTCACTTTAGTGTGACCCAACCCTGATAGAGGTTTTCTTGACTAATCGCCCCAGTTTTTCAGCTAGTGGCTACAGCAAAACCGAAAAATCATATCTAGGAATAATTGCACAACCTTAAGACCGGCGGAGCTGATAATGAATTTAAAAGGTTGCCAGTAGTAATTTGCATAAATATTAATAGCACATGATGCATCAGACTCCTGAACTTCCCACAAAGATAAGTAATCTCATTCTTAGAGGGTGGACAAACACCTAAATAATTTTAATTAAAATCATTCCCTCCTCTGAAAAATTAATCAAAATTATTATAAAAATCATTTTCATTACTTGTTAAGCTTCAGATAGTGACAACAAAACAAGACAGGGTAACTTCTTTCCTTATCATCAATTTATTGCATTTCTTAAATTTACCCCTGAATGTTTTTGAAAGAGGACATGGATATCAATAATGACTGTTGAAAAATACAAGCTCTGCATTATAAATAGAAAGAAAAAACAATTAAAAACAATTTCCCATTTTTTATTTCCCATTTCATTTTCCCATTCCCCATTCTTCATTCTTTATTCCCCATTTCCTTTTCCCACTTTTATATCATAACCCAATATCTGCTACAGACATTGGGTTATTCATGTTAAGTCACCATGTCACTTAATTGTATATTGACTTTATTCTCTTGATCAATCAGAGTTTTCATGGTAAGGTCAATGTATAACATAATTTCATATCTGAAAAAAAATGTTTGATACCTCTCGAATGACTGTTCCATCTTTTACACAATGCACATTTGTTGTAGATCTGTTCAGAAAATAAATAAATCAAAACAGAAATATAAAAAAAAAGATAACAAGAAACCAAACAAAAAGCCATATTTCAGTAACACCATATAATAATCTCATAAAAAAAATTAATAGGAAAGAATTATAATCATACTAATTGCTAACTGGTCTTCAGGTTCTTTAAGCTAATCTCTAAGCTGATGGGGCTCATGAAAATGCAATTTTTGGTACTCAGACTTGATTGAAAAAAAAAAAAGAAAAGAAAAGGCTGCATTATTTGTATGATATAATTTGGGATTAAATA